GAGGTGACTTACTCCTGATGCTTCCATGAGGAGGTGACTTACTCCTGCTCACTTCCATCCTGAAATTGTCTTACTTTAAATATTTAATCCATGAGACGTGTTTGAGAAGAGAAACGTAGGTTATTCTGAAGACAAAGAATGAGAGCCCATCTATCCCAGGATCAGATTGAAACACTATTGTTTTAACTTACTGTAAACATCACAGAATTATCTTTCTGAGATGTAATTCAGCTACATCTGCATAATAGTGACGTTAAAAATAACTGAAACCGCTTCTTTTCCTTGCTGGCTAAGTGTAGTTTTTAATTTCACTTATTCTCTCTCTCTCTCTCTCTCTCTCTCTCTCTCCCATCTGTAGTTCATCTTCAGATTGAATCTACAGCTTACAGTGAGAGACAAGCTACTCATTTAAAACACCACTAAAATCTGTGCTTCTGGACTCAAATTAGCAACGTGGCATGGGAGGGAGGGGGAGGGAGAGAGGGAAGGAGGGAGGGAAGTGTAGGCCTTGGGGAAAGGGATGCTTATTATCTAATAAATATGGTTTTGGATTCTATATGTCAACATTCTAATATACCAAGTTAGTAAGTACCTTGAAAAGAGCCTTTATGGTATAGTATAAACATGAAAAGCAGGTAGTGGAGACAGCAGACAGTGAGTATAGATGCCTTTGGAATCACTTGGGCCAGTTTTGACAGCTTTCTGTTGTTTGTTGTTGGTAGGGACTCCCGGGCCCAGGTGTTACCCCTGCTTCAGGCTATGGAATCGGTTAAAATACAGTCATGGCTTGGTTATGACGTTCTAATTCCATTAACTGCTAGTGATTTCCTGTAAGGCCCCTCCATACTGGTATAAAATGATTGAGGTTGGGTACAATGCCTACATGGATTTACTTATATTGTATAAGGTACTGTGGCTGAGGGGCTTCCTAATGGACTGGCTAGATCACAATATTTTATTGGAGTTGTGTTTGGGGAGAATTTTTGTCATTAATCAGAAATTCAACAAAAAGAAACCCAAAGTACTAGGATGTACTCAGATGACGTATTAACCCCCCACCTGGCATTTCCACATAAACCAGTTATCAAACTAGACCTAATTTCCTGGTGACCATAATATATAGTCTTACAGAACCTAATTTGAATATGGAAAACTGGGATAGTTATACCTTCCTATTCTGTGAAAGGAATGAGTCCTGCCCTTTGCGTTTTGCAACTTCCCGTTTGACAAATCTCCATTCCTTTGGTGTTCCCAGCACCTACACCTCCTCTGATAGGAGAATAAATTCTGTAAAACCCTCCTTTTGGTTTCTTAGGGCATTTCTTTAGAATTCAGGACACCTCGTAGGGCTCTTTCCAATGTGCATTGGCCTAGGGATGCAGGAGGAGAGAGACCGACATGGTGGCTGCTGAGTGTGCAAACCCTGGCTGTCAGGGCGCCTGACATCCTCTGGCCTTGTGGTCTTGGCATAGGTGGGGACCCAAGAAGGGAACTAGAGCTCTCTTGACTTCAGGAGACTAATGTTTGCCTCTGACATCCCCACCCTGTCTGATCTGAAACCAGAGGACCCTAGGTTTCCCCAGCTTGTGTCTGCTGCTTTTCCTTTCTTGGAACTCCTGGAGTCAACACTAAGGGGCACCAGAGCCTTGGACTGCAGCGCCAGCCTGGAGGGCTCTGCGGAAGTCCTGGCACAGAGGAGCCCACCCGTCGGGCCCCGGAGGCAGGCACAGTATGCTGGTGCTCTAGGGTCCTCGGGGTCTTCTGGAGGATTCCTCAGAGATGAGACTCCTCGAGCATTACGCCGGAGGGACGCACCATACTGATGGTGCTTCCCCAAGGCTGGGGAGACCTTTTGTCGCCGCTTACTTTGGAGGAGGAAATATGGTCAGACATGGAGTGTAGTGTGGTCATAGCTGCAGCGCACACACGGTGCTGGGGAACAGCACCATGCAGGCAGACACACAGACACAAGCACCCCGCGTCCTTTCCGACCCATAAAACCAATCTGGGACACAAACGAACGCGGTGAAACTGTCTAGGGACCCAAAGAACGTTCAGACTGAGCCTGCAAAGTCACCTCGTCCCTCCTCTAGTCAACCTGCTCTTTTCTGTAGACTGTCTAGTGAGGGAAATTGTGTCCGCCCCTGGCCCCCAATAGGAACCTCTTAGCCACCCTTCCTTGGGTGACTCGTACTTGTCCCCTGGACTGCGGGGTATGGAGAAGCTGGAGACTTGGGACAGCAGTGTTGGCCACTCAGCCCGCGTCCTGATACCGAAATAAAAAAGTGGGGAGGGTCGGTAAGCCGAGGGCAAGAGTCTCGGTGCACTGGGCCCGAAGGGGGCGGCGGACAGCTGCTCCCCAAGCCGCCGCCTGGCGCGTCCTCATCCTCCTCCCCGGGCAGAGCCGCCGCCACTGCACCAGGATGAAGAGACCTCAGGGCGGGAGGAGATGACGCAAAATCCAACGCTCCCCCCAAAAAAGTGTGCCTCTAGGACGAAGATGGCGGCAACTTAGCCCGGGGACTGAAGATGACTGTGGCCTCCGGAGGCCCAGCGCAGGTGACTCGGCCCCCGGCGGCGCCCGCGGGCAGACCTGCAGCGGCCGCGGCGACAGTCGGAGCGCGGGGTGGGGGGAGTTTGCCGCCATCTTCGTCCTAGAGGCACACTTTTTTG